AAAAAAATAATTACTGTCTGGCCAGCGTGGCTCAGTGGTTGAGTGTTCAACCTATGAGTCAAAAGGGCATGGTTCGATTCTGGTCAGGGCACATGCCCAAGTTGCGGGCTCGATCCCTAGTGTGGGGCGTACAGGAGGCAGCCAATCAATGATTCTCTCTAATCATTGATGTTTTATCTCTTTCTCCCTCTCCCTTCCTCTCTGAAATCAATAAAAATATGTTTTAAAAAATGAACCTTTAAAAAAATCCCTTAATATAATAAAATTTTCATGATTATTTAATCCTTTCCTTTATAATAATTTTTTTTCAAATCACCTGGTTAGGTTTACACATTACAATTGGCTTAGAGTATCAAGTCTTCTTTAATCCATAGGTGTCCACCTCCAGCACTTGCAATTTTTTGTTAAAGAAGCAAGATCATTTATCCTAAGGAGTCTCTTACACCGTGAATTTTGGCTATTACATCCCTGGGAGGTTGTTTAACATAATCCTCTCTATCTTATATTTCCCTTAATTGCCAGTAAGATCTAGAAACTTAATCAAATTTAGGTTCTGTTATTGGGGCCAGAATATTTTATAGACCGGGCTCTGTGCTTCCATTGGAGAAACATAATGTCTGTTTGTTTCTCTTTTGGGAATGTTAGGAGTAATCAACAATCATAGCCTAGGGATTGCAAGCTGGCAACAGGCTACCGTTTCTTCCTCTTTTATAAGCTGGGTTACTTCCAGAAAACTTGCCCGCATCAACTGTGTGGTTACTCTGAGATATAACTCCTAAAGGAAAGGCAGGAGAAATACTTAATTATTTTCCTTTATTTACTTATTTTCATATTAATGAGTTGATTCCCTAACACCTTCAAAAGCTGAACATTTTTAAATATTATTAAAATCTAATGGATTTAAATGTATTTTATATACTTAAATCATTGCTTTTATTACTTGAATCGACTCTCAAATTGTCCCATTGGCCAGTGGGAACCTTTTGAAATTAGCCCGACCTCATCTTGACATTTTCTGTCCCTGACCTAGACCAACTGTTTCTCCAAGGAGCCCTAGTTGTTGTTTTTTAAGTGGAAAATTATATTTAGAATCTGGGCTCTAGCTTCTATTCCTAGCCTCTCTACACTGTGCACTCCTTACTATTGAGTAAGTCCTTGTTTCTAAGTCTTTTCAATGAACAGAGCTAAGAAATCATTTTTAAGGATAAAATGCATCGTGGGTTCACTTCATTTCCAATGTACAAACACGTTTTCCTTTTTATTTAACTTCGTCGTGTCATATCTGTACCTCCTTTCTCTCTTGCAGAAAACCCCAGTTCCCTACACCACCAGCACAATTTCCCACCCACCATGCATACCCAGGAGTCTCAGAACTGTGAGGCCAGTACTACCTACAGCAGTGTCAGTACTGGAAATAGTTTACGTTGGTTTTCTTTCAGTTTTTCTCCCCGTATCCTACTAGGGTTGGGCTATCAAAATTACAGTGTTTTTAAATTTTTCACTCCTTCCTTCATGTGTGATAATGCTACTAACTGATACAGGATTGTATTCATTTATTTCATCTGTGTTTTTTTTTTAGTTTTGAGACAAGACTTATCAAATGTCATTATTTCTTTTTAATTGTGCAAAATATTTACAAAGTTCCAAAGTTAAACCTAAAAGAAGGTATATACTTGAGAGAGTCTAGCTTATATCCCTGGCCTCTGTACCCTATTCACTCCCTTTTTCATAGGTAATGTTGAGATTTTAGGTTACTCTAATATTGATTGTTAATATGAGTAAATAAGTGTGTGTCTCCCACCCTTAGATATGGAATCATACTATACCCTTATTATTTACTTATCTACCTTACTTTTATACCTAATAATAGTATATTCTAGGGATCCCTCCTCGACATTATATAGACTATTCCTCATTCTTATGTTATAGCTTCATAAATAGTCCATTTTGTTGATTACCCCAATTCATTCACTCAGTTCCCCATTGCTCAACATTTGGGCTGTTTTCAATTTTTTTGCTATTACAAATAGTGCTGCCTTGTACAGCCATAGATAGATAGATAGATAGATAAATAGATAGATATAGATATCTCTATATCTATATTTGTCATTTCATATTTTGCTGATATATCTTAGGGATAGAGTTCTGCAAATAGAATTTGTGTATCATAGAGTAAGTGCATTTGAATTTTGTTGGATATTACCAAATTTCCCTTCATAAATTTCCACCAGCTAGGTCCTAGGATACCTGCCTTCCCTCAGCTCACATGTCATCAGACTTTGGGTTTTGCCCACCTGATGAGAAATAATTTCTCATTGTAGTTTTAATGTGTATTTTCTTAGTGAGAGTGAGGTTGAGCCTCTTTTCAAATGTTAAAGAGACATGCGTTTAGGAATCCTGCCCACCTCCCTGCCTGGCAACTGCCACCCTGGAATATGAAGATGAGCTAGAGAGAGTGACGGAGTGAATGAATAGAAGGGTCATTGGGCCATCACATGAGCAGGAGAAGAGATGAACCCAGCCAAGGTAATAAAATAACGCAGCAGAGAAAGAAGACAGAATACTAACAAACAAAGGCGGGATTTGGGTTTCCTTCGCTGGAGATTTTAGGGAGGGTTTCCTTGATAAATAGGCACTAAATGGAGAGTAGTTGAGGCAGGCGAGTGACTGTGTGATCTGTGGCTTCCTGGGAAGTGAGTGAGGAGATCACAGTACAGCAACCAAAGAGGCTGGACCTGCATTGAGTTGGAGTCAAGAGAGAGTCCCTATATCTGCTGAGGTTCAGTCCCTGCAGGGGGACCCAGGGACAGAGCGCTGAGCATGCCTCTCCCACCTGCTAGGTCTCACGTGTCCATTGGAGAAATAGAGGAAAGCTTTAGTAGTTTCAGAGAGATGGATGGACAGGATTTGAAAACGACGCCTATCCAGGAGGTGGTAATACTCATTTGCAATTTACTCTGCGTTTGATCTAGGTGCTATGCAATTACCTGTTTTCTCCAAGCCTTGGCTTACTAAAAACGGGTAATAATCCCTGCCTATAAAATGAGGATAATAACAGTATCTGCCTTTTAGTGTTGCAGTTGTCACAAGGATAATCCATAAGCCTGGCATGTGTAAGCTCTCAGTAGCCATGAGCTCATTACTGTCGGCCGTGGTTGTAGCACTGTTATATGCTGCAGGGGAATTTGGAGATGAGTCTTGAGGTTAAATCTCAGCTGTAACTTCATTAGCTCTCAATCTAACCCCTTAGCCTATTTAGCCTTAGTTTTCTCCTCTGTGAAATGGGGATAATACAGAAGTCAGTGTCATGTCTCAGTATGAGTTGTCTACTGTTATCACCATTATTATATTGTTTATTTTTTTGTTAATTAAATTTCCCATTATAACTTTCTATTAAGAATGCTTGGCAGTTAATTTAGATATTGCCAAGAAGTTTATAGAATTAAGAGAGGAAAGGTGTGCTGCATTTTGGCTGTATCTTATGAAACTGATTGCCTGGAGGAATCCACAGAAACTTGCAGAGATAGAAGTGCTCTGTAGCTGTGTTCCCTTCCCGGTCTTGTTCAGGGCATCTGGCACCTGGTAGCCCCATAGCAAGGAAATGCCAAGGAAGCAGGGCTCCTTTAACACTGGGAGGCTGCTCAGCTTGAGATCTCTGGGTTTATGCCGTTTTCCAGGTCTGAGTGCAGGCGCTAACTTGCTAACCAGGACTAGTGACCTAGCCTCCATTAGCGTCAGCACTCTTAGCTGTAAGATGGAGAAAATAATAGAAGCCCCTCACAGGGTCTGTGTCTTGTGAAGACTGAACATGATTATTGATGTGAAGCTAAATGCCCAGCACGAGTGGGCTCTCAGTCCATGGCAGTGGTGGTGACAGGAGCAGCGGCCCTGGGGGTGGGGAGGGAGGTGTATTAGGATTAGACGGTGTTAACAAGCAGCCCCCAAACCTCAGTGGCTTAAACACAGGAGTTTGTATCTCTCTGAGACTGCATGTAGAACCTGATGACACGGTCATCAGCGGCTCTGCTCCTCAGAGTCACTTACAGGCCTTGACAGGACGTCCACTCTTGTTCCACAATCACCGAGGCAGGAAACGTCACAGATCATGCCCTGGCTCTTCAAGTTTCCACATGAACAGGACACAGGTCACTTCTGTAGTCACATGGCCTAGCATCACTTCGATAGCAAAATACGACCATGCGCCCTGCAGGAGGAGGACTGAAAGAGCTCTCATGACCACCATGGGGGCCCAGGGTCTGGTTGCAGGAAAAGGCAAGAATGATGGCAAAGGTGTGGGTGAGAATGAGAAGCTGAGGAATGGGAAGAATGGGCAGAAAGACCAAGGGACAGTGATTACAAGCTTGGGAAGATCAGAAGTATGCCTAGACCATCGACATGGACGGCATTCATTTATCCTTCCATCCATTCATTGATTGATCAAAAAGATACTCGCTGAATTTTAGCAGAGAGGGACAACTATGCCAAGCTCTGGGCTAAATGCTGGGGATCCTGAGTCGTGTAAGGCAATGATAGGGTCCCTGCCCTCACGGAGCTCACAGTGGAGTAGGTCCTGCTGGTGCTCCAAGCAGCGGGCTCTGCCCACTCTTCAGCGCCAGAGCGCCAGGTACTGGGTGTGGGGGTGGCCAGGAGGGCAGGCGGGTCTCAGCCTCTGCCACAGGCCTGGCAGCCAAGTGAGGAACAAAGCAAAGACCAGTGTGACCCAAGTGCTAGCTGTACTCAGCCCTTCTAGAATGGCAAGGACTTTGTTTGAAGGGTCCTTTTCATTCCTCCCCTCTGGTCTTTAATAGAACTCCAAATGATGCAAATGTACATATCCATACGGGTCCCGGTAAACGAAATTCACAGTTTATATAGTTTACATAGTTTTTCATAGACACAAAAACAATACTTGTATGCGGATACATTTTATAGAGAGGGCTTTTGTTTCTTTGTTCATTTGTCCCCCCAAGAAAGCTGCTTCTCTCCCTTCTGTCCCCCAGCTCCCTGCGGTGGTCATCTGACTGCGCCGAGTGGCACCATCCTGTCCCCAGGCTGGCCTGGCTTCTACAAGGATGCCCTGAGCTGCGCCTGGGTGATCGAAGCCCAGCCTGGCTACCCCATCAAAATCACCTTCGACAGGTGCTTGCACCCAGAGCCTCAGGGGAGGGGTGAGAGGTGATCTCCATCGAGTGGCGTGGGAGGGCACCTGGGGTGAGTGGGGACCAGCCCTGATGCTGCACTGTCAGCAAGTGAGAGAACACGAACAGGCTGCCCTGGGTGGGGTACACAGTGCTGGCTTTGCCCTTGGCCTTGGCCTTGGCCCCACCTCAGGAGTGGGGTTTGTGTTGTTTAAGGGACCATGATTTGAGGGGTGAGGAGAAGGCTGGGGGTGTCAGAGGAGGGAGAGTGGGCAGATAGACGCCATGAGATGTGGAAGGAGGCATTAGCATCTACGGAGCATAACCCTGAAATTTCTAGGGTGGAAAGGTGGCCTTCCTGACCTCTGACCCTAATCCTGCCCTGTCCCCACGTCCAGCTCCCACCAGGTTATGTCCCTTAAGTGGGGAGAGAAGCCACCCTAATATGCACACAAACTTTAGACAAAGCATTCCTGGTCTAGAAGAGCAGTCCAAAAACTTTTCTGTGAAGGACCAGATGTAAATATTTTAGGTTTTGTGGGCCCTTGTGGTTATCTATCACATACACTTTGCTTTTTTAAAAATATACCCCTTTATAAAGGTAAAAAGCATTCTTTGCTCTCAGACCATATAGAAACAGCCTACAGAGAAGGTTTGGCCCTGGCCTGTATTGGCTGACCTGGCCTGGAACATTCTAACCCCCCTGAGGCTAGTCCTTGTGCCTCTAGGCCTCAGGATGGGAGACAGCCCAGGCCACAGAGAGGAGTGAGAGAGCTGTGTCCACTGTGGGAGGAGGAGGACTTAAATATGGTAGAGAAGGCCTCCACATCACTGGTGAATGTGTGCAAATCATATTAAAATATACCAGCCTGCCAAAATCTGATTGTTCTAAAGCCCTGGGTCAGACAGGGCCTTTTGTCATCTGCACATTAATAAGCCTCGGGTTTCTCACGAAGTCCTCATCTCCGTCTGCGGCAGATTTAAAACCGAGGTGAATTATGATACTCTGGAAGTGCGAGATGGACGAACATACTCCGCGCCCTTGATCGGGGTTTACCATGGGACCCAGGTCCCCCAGTTCCTCATCAGCACCAGCAACTACCTCTACCTCCTCTTCTCCACCGATAAGAGTCACTCGGACATCGGCTTCCAGCTCCGCTATGAGAGTGAGTCTCGGGGGGCAGATGGCAGGGTTGGCCCGGGTGGGTGAAAGGCCCAGGACCAGTAGTCTTTCCACTGGGCCCCATCTCAGGGCATTCTCAAGGCTGTGCTCCTCAGGAGACCCTCCCTTGCTCTCAGCATCTCTCAGAGCTCAGCCTTTAGAGAGAATGAACGTTTCTCGCTAAAGAGCCTTTAGAAAGAGTTGAACCCTCAGAAGCAGTGAAAGCTGACGGCCTGCACACCGTTCCTTGTGGGCACACAGCAAGGCCTCTTTCGTGTGCAGACAATTGGGGGGCACCATGTTAGGGACCGATTGTTTGCAGACCGTGAGGTTAAAGTGAGCTGGCATCTCCCACTCGCTCACCTTTCCTCACCACTTTCTACATTCATTGCTGATGCCTCGATTTAGAGAGACTGATGTCAGTTCAGTTCTACAGGCCGCTGTAGGAAGTATGGCAGAGAGCCATTAGGACAGGGTCATTTTCTTACTTGAGCTTATATCTATGTTGCAAAGCCTTAGCAACCTATGCTTATTGAATGAATGAATGAATGAATGAATGAATGATCCAGCCAACTTATTTGCTCTGATCAGTCGTCAGATATTCTCTTGGCAGATATTGACAGCACATTTGATGAGTGGGTGAATGGTAACTTAAGCCTGCTGTGAAGCTGGGCCTCTCCTCCCTCCCTCCCTCCCTGTCTGAGTCAGCTGGGGTCCCTCTGTGGGGACAGTGAGCTGTCTTTTCCAGCTGTGGGCTCTCTTTTCCAGCTATAACCCTGCAGTCAGACCACTGTCTGGATCCAGGGATCCCCGTAAATGGGCAGCGTCACGGAAATGACTTCTATGTGGGCGCTCTGGTGACTTTCAGCTGCGACTCGGGCTACACATTAAGTGATGGGGAGCCCCTGGAGTGTGAGCCCAACTTCCAGTGGAGCCGGGCCCTGCCCAGCTGTGAAGGTGAGACACATTATTGGGCACTAATGTAGCGGATTCCTTTCCTGCCACGAAAAACCAGGGGGCACTGACTCTCCCACCATTAGTGAGGGTTGTGGGTTTGAAAGGAGATTGGGGGGGGCAGATTCCCAGAGGATTGGGGGGAGCTCCTTGAGCCAGTCCAGTCTTTCACTGCCCTCTTCACTCCTGTAGCCCTCTGTGGTGGCTTCATTCAAGGTTCCAGCGGGACCATCTTGTCACCAGGGTTCCCCGACTTCTACCCCAACAACTTGAACTGCACCTGGATGATCGAAACATCGCATGGCAAGGGTGAGTGTTTTAGGGCCATTGCAGTATTGGGATATGACACGGTCAGGACCCCACATTCCCCGGGTCAGAGTGACCACAATAAGGATCTCCCTACATAGTGACCTCTGGGCTTAGTCTGAGTTTTTCTCACCAATAAGAAAGATCCCAGAACCTTTCTCTTCGATCACAGAACTCACAAATAGAATGTTTTAAAATAAGTGTTTTTAAGATCAAAATCCCCATGAGGGAAGAAAGAGATCTTAGTGATTCCAAAATCTCAAATCCTTAACGGGGGAATCTGCTCTGAATTACTCCCCATGAGACAGTGACACCACTTCTGTCTAAAACGTCTAAACATGTCCAGTGGTGGGGAATTGGCCAACTCATCCAGTCAATAGGTACCTATTTTTTGATAGATCTGACCCCTCTTAATAGCCTGTTAGGTGCCGCTGAAACTTCCTTCCATGTTCTGTGTCCTCGGGGAAATAGGATGCGCCTGCTCCCTTTTCCTCATGTCCGCCCTTCCGATACTGGAATAACCGTCCTCTTCACCCGTCACTCAGCTGTCCTCACCAGGCTGGACCGTCGCCTCGCCTTCCCTAACAGAAATGGTCTTTGGGTGTCCAAGAACAAAAGATGGGTGCTGGTTGCAAAATAAACATTAATTAATATACTCTTTCATTCAACAAATATTGATTGAATGGCACCTGTGTGGCAGATACCAGGTCTGGGAATAAACAATGGCCAGACAAATATGGCTTTGACCCTCAAAAGCCTGTTCTTTTTTTTTTTCTTCAAATATATATATTTTTATTGATTTCAGAGAGGAAGGGAGAGGAAGAAAGGAATACAAACATCAATAATGAGAGCATCATTGACAGCTGCCTCCTGCATGCCCCCTCCTGGGATTGAGCCCACAACCCAGGAATGTGCCCTGACCAGGAATTGAACCGGTGACCTCCTGGTTCTTGGGCCGATGCTCAACCACTGAGCCACATTGTCCAGGCAGAAGCCTATTCTGAAATTCATCTAGAGTCTTGGTTCTTAGCCCCTCTGCACTTTGGCAAACACCTAATGCATAGCTCACACCCTGGAGATTGTGATTTTTTATGCTGGAGGTGGAAACCAGCCATCTATGTTTTTAGAACACTTCACCGTTAATTCTGACACATGCCCTTAAATAAGAACCTCTGATCTACAAGAATGAACATGTAGAAAAGCCGGAAAAAAAATTTTAAGATATTACAATGTTGTTATGGGCTAAAATAATTTTAAAATTTAGTGTGAGTATAGGAGTGAACACATGAATCATGGGGGAGAATAAAGGTCCAGAAAAAGGGATGTGTGTGTGTGTATGTGTGTATGAGAGAGACTGTCTTTAATATGTGATTAAAGTATCATTTCTAATCTACTGAAGAGAGAATGGATTATTTACTAAATGGTTTTAAAACAGTGGGCTTAAAGCCCTAGCTGGTTTGGCTCAGTGAATAGAGCGTCAGCCTGCAGACTGAAGGGTCCTGGGGGTTCAATTCTGGTCAAGGGCACATGCCTGGTTGTGGGCTCGATCCCTAGTAAGGGGCATGCAGGAGGCAGCTGATCAATTATTCTGTCATCACTGATGTTCCTATTTCTCTCTCCCTCTCCCTTCCTCTATGAAACCAATAAAAATATATTTTTTAAAAAAGAAACAGCGGGCTTAAACATTTGGAAAGAAAGAAACAAATTATACCTCAAATATTTAACCACATAAACTCCAGTCCTAGAACATGGAACTCTAACCTCAAATAGGGACATATTTTAAGGAGTGACACTGAAAGTAGAATCCATAAAAGCAAAGACTGTTAGATTTGATTAAGTAGAACTTTGAATGGAATTATTATTTTTTAAGCCATTAAAGTTTCAGATAGTAAATAAATGAAAATATTTGCAACATATAATCTACTCAGGGTTACCAACCTTCGGCATGAAAAGCTTTTGGAATATTGAAGAAACTATTCCTGCTCTCCAGGCCTGTAAAATGAACAGATCTATAGACTAACATTTCACAATAGAGAGAATACAACTGAAAAGACATCGCCTCCACTGATGGTGAAAGAAATGCAAATTCCACCCGGAATGAAACACATTTTCCTTTTCAAGTTGGCAAAGAAGATTGTAGCCGTGCGCAGTCAGTGTGGAGCCACGGAGACTCTCCTTCACCGCTGACGTGCGAAATGGTTGAAACTTTCAGAGGGGGGTTCGGCGACGTGGATCAAAAGTCTTAAAAATGCACGTTCCAGCCCTAGCCGGCTTGGCTCAGTGGATAGAGCATCGGCCTGCGGACTGAAGGGTCGCAGGTTTGATTCCGGTCAAGGGCATATGCCTGGGTTGCAGGCTTGATCCCCAGTGGGGGGCGTGCAGGAGGCAGCTGATCAATGATTCTCTCTCATCATTGATGTTTCTATCTCTCTCTTCCTCTCTGAAATCAATAAAAATATATTTTAAAAAATGCACGTTCCATGGGACCCAGCAACTCCACTTCTTGAAATTGACCTGAAGAAGAAAAATAAACTGTGCATCCAGGTTTCGCTGCAAGGATGTCTCCTAAAACATACCATTAATTGAAAGAATTAGAAACTATTTAAATGTCTGTCAGTAAAGAAATGATAAATATATGGTGCAGCCACATATTACCTGGTACATGTAATGTATACTACTTATATAAGAAAAGAAATTTTGAAAGAAAAGCCAACGTATAGCCCCATCTAAGAACTGAAGCGCTTTCACTTTTGCCTTCAATGGGCCGACCTGAGGGGATAAATGGCCTGCAGCTCCTTGGGCAGGGCAGAACCCGGCAGCTGTCAGGCGAGGCCAGTTGTCCCCTTGTCCCCACAGTATTGTTCTAGAACGGAGGGATCAGGACAGCGTCTTTGCCATTTCACCGCGCCTGAGCTGGAAGCTGCTCCGCAACGTGAAGAGGGAAAGAAAGGCAGCCCTTTCCATTCCTAGAGGAACAGCCCCTCCAGTCATGATTTTCTCTGTCTGGGCCCCTGTCATTCAGGGCCATGTGTTTCATCTTTGCCTGAAAGTCAATGGAGTTCAACAGGTTTTTAATACTTACTTGACACTTGCACTTATCCTGGGTGCTAGGAAAACATGGCCACTGAGTGTTGCCTGCCTTCGGGAAGGTTATGGTCCAGTGGCAGAGAGAGGAAGCCTAGAGATCTCTGATCTAGCAGGGCCAGTGCCGAGATGGAGCAGAGAGGTGGGGAACATCCAGAGGCCAGCCCAAGGTGGAAGCAGGCCTGAGCTGAGACGTAGGCCATTCTTCCAGGATGAGTGGGAATTGGCCAGATGAAAGGGGTTCCAGGCAGAAACAGGTCAGTGACCTACGACCAGGTCATTTAAAGGCTTTGCCTAACCTTTATGAAATTGTAGAATAGCCAGCATGGCCCCTGAGGACCTTTCTCAGCCTCATCTGAGCCCCATAAACACTAAGTTCTAACTACGCTGAGCTTTCAGTTCCCAGAACTTTCTGGGCTTTCTTTGCTCTCTAAAGCTTTACACAGCGGGTTGATTTTCTTCTCTCTGTGACACTTCCTCTTCCCTCAGTCCTCTCTTCTGCACTGTTCCCCTTGCGTGGCCAGCACTTCATCCTCCTGAATTCACCTCCTCTAATGAGCCTTCCCAACCCTTCTTCCCAGCCTCAGGTCTGGGTTGGGCTCCCCTCTGGGGACCCCAGTGGTCCTGCACCTTCCCAGGTCCACCCTTGGCCCCACTGCACAGAACTTGCATTTTCATCCTCTATCTCCCCCCGGAATCAGTTCTTTCAGACACATGTCTGCCTTGTTTCCTGCAGTTTTCCTGTCTCGGCTCTATGCCTGGCTCATAAGAAACTCAAGAAATATCTATATGAATTGAATTAGAGTGAACCCAGACCCTCTCCAAGGGGGCGCTGCTTGTAAGAGCATTTCGGGTAAATAGACCTATTAGGCTCCTCACTCTGTTTGCTCCCCAACAGGCAGAAGGCTATCAGTAGAACTCAGAACTCTGGGAAATGCAGAATTATTTGTTTGCCACACACGCAGCCCAAGGGAACAGCCAATTCAGGAGCCCAGAGAAGGTATCCTTGCTGAGACCCCAGGATTGACATATTTCCTAAAATCCACAAGATGGTCTGGGAGTTAGATGAGCTGAGCAAAGAGAACACCTACTATGTGCCAGGCATGGCGCTTTGCATATGCTGTCCCCATCACTCCTCACTCCAAGGATTATATGTCCCCTGAGAGGGTGACACTGTCATCCACATATTGTAGTTGAGGAAACTCAAACTCAGGGTGTGCTGAGCAACTGTCCCAGCCCCTCAGCAGGTGGGTGGGCTCTGACACAGGTCTGTCTCCCTCCGAAGCCCTGTCTTTCTGCTCCGGCCTGGGATCCATGTCCTTCGTATGACTCTGCGTGGTTCACTCCAGTGAAGTATTCGTTTATGTGTATCTGTCACACCAACTCTGGATTCAAGTGCCAACCTGGGGCCTCGCTTTCTGTGACAATGTCTTCATTTTCTCACAGTGGCCAGAAGAGCCCCAAGCAATCAGCACAGCTGGGAAGCCCAGGGGTTTCATCTCAGTTGTTTACTCATCCTTAGAATCCCTGCCAAGCGTTCCCTCCTGTGGAGGGCTGTGTTTGCATGCAGAAGAAGAGAGTGCAAGGCGAAGCGCTTCATCAACTCCGCTGCCCCTCTTACTGCATCTGGCCCCTCTCCACCAGCCCTGCATTCCAGCTACGAGGGGAAGGGCCTACATTCCACAGAGCCTGCCCCAAGCTCTGTAGACCAAGAACCGTTTCCCATTTGCACACGTTTGTGTGTCAGGAGGATAGGATCCATGCGAGCTCACATACCCATGTGTCTCCAAGCATGCTCACACTCGTCATGTCAAGGACCGCAATCCCTGGGAAGCCTTCCCAACCTCCAGACACCTTTGCTCACTCTTCCTGGGCTCCCACTCTAGATTCTCCCTATCGATGGTCTGTCTCCACCACTAAGCTGGCAGATTTTTCTCGGTGTTCCCCGCAGGCCTGGCACTTAGTATGTGCTTAGGATCTGTTTGAACAAATAGAAGGATGCGTCTCAGTTACCTGGGCACAGACCATTTACAAGCTGCATCCCTGGTCCCACCACCTCTTCTGTTCCTCCATCCCCTACCCATAGAATCCCAAATACACCAGGTTCACTAGCTTCTACCAACAGAGAGGCCAGACTGAACACATCTAGAATGCTTTAGCATTAAGAGCTTGGATCCAACTGTCATTTATCAAAAACATGTCAGTAATTATCTAGCGAAGTATTTCTCAAATGGCTGTGTGCCTACAGATCACCTGCGGGTCTTGTTAGCATACAGATTCTGACTCAGGTCTGTGGCCGAGGCCCTGCATTCCTAACAGACTCCCAGGCGATGCCCCTGCTGCAAGTTCATGGACTCTGAATAGTAATTGGGTCCAGTAGCCACCCCTCATCTACCCGAGTTCCTGCCCTGGCACATCTGCCACATACACTCCCACGGGCACACACACTTGTTGGTGGACATGCACTTACATGTATGTACACCCAGTACAACTGCTTTATCTGGATAAGTTCAAGGGTTGCTTTGAGTGTTGAGAGCCTGCTGCTTTGTAACCTTTTTCACACCTGCTGCTTCTTGCTACCGGGTCTCTTTCTGTGGTGTGAGAAGCAGCGTCGTGTAGCAGCTTATTGCACAGCCTCTGAGGCCAGATGACCTCCGTTCAGATCCAGCTCAACCACCTGCTAGCTGTGACCTCGGACAAATGGCTTTCTCTTTCTGTGCCTCCGTTTCCTCAGATGTAAAATGGAGATGAGAATAAGCGTACCCATGCCATAGCAGAATTAAATGAGTTTTCATGTCTCCCCTTCTGATGGATAGGAGCCTACCGCAGAGTAACAGAGCGTGTAGGACGGTGACACACAAATGTTCATGAATATTATTGTTTTCATTTAGTGCCCTTCACCCCTTCCCCTCAGCAGAGCGCTCCCTTTCTCTTCCTCTCACTGCTCCTCCTCCTGCCTGTCTCCCTAATGCCACTCCAGCCCAAGACTCCGTTCTGCCCCTTCTCTGACGCGCTTCTGCCCTCCTCCGGCCCCTTCTCCATGCTATGGCTTCAAATAGCGCCTATTGGATGGCGACTCCCAGATCTACTGCTGTAGTCCCACCTTAATCCCGAACCCCAAATCTATGCTCCCAGACGCCTACTAGCTATCAATGCTTAGATGTTGACAACACGAGTGTTCAAAGCTAAATCCATCACCCTCCCACCACCTGCTACCCCAGGTAGCGAAATACATCACCTTCCTTTGAGTCAAGACACTCTCGGTCATGCCTTCATTTCTCCTTTGCACCTTTGCTGCTATTTCTATCGCCCTCCCTGGGGTCTTGTGTCCATTTCCTTTTCTCAGCCCCCCTGCCCCTCTTGCCCACGGCTGCCATCATTCTAACTGTTCTCTCTGCCTCTTCTCCCTCCACTTCGTCCTCCTCGCAGCCATCAGCATCTTTCTAAGCCTGAAATCTGATCCACTCTGGATAGGTTGGCTTCTCATTGCCCCAGAAAAATATCCGGCCTCGCCCCAGCCTGCCTTCCCAACCTCTATTCCAGATTGTTCCTGCTGAGTGTGTCCAGCGCACACCGTGCGGTTCCCTGAGCCCCGGAACCCACAGCTCCTCACACACACAG